GTCTTCCTTATCATTTCTGCATTGGGTTATGCCCTTAGTACTCTACAACCACTACAACTCTTTCTTTCTTTGACTGTCATTGTACATTTCTTTATTGCAAACATAGATTATGAAAGCAAGTAAGCCCATACATGTCATTATTTGGAACACCACAGCTAACTTTTGTTTTACTTGTCTGACTTTATTTGGGCAAACAAACTTTTACAAACTTGTTATATATGCTTTCCAGTAACTGCATGTGATGTCTTTTTTCAGACAATTTCTGTGTGTAAAATTCCATTTAAAGGCACTTAAAGGAAAACAAATTAAAATTTTAGCAAGTTTTTGGTGCAATTTATTAAATCTGTCAGATTTTTAGATAACATTATTTTTCCTGCCACTGTAAATCTGTCAGTCTTCAAAAATGAAAACTGCCACCTTTTAGACCACTTTAATAAATAGGATCAACATAATGACAGATTTTAAACTTACTTAAAACATTTTAAAAGGTATTTTCCTTTGACTCTTCGTGTTTCAGACTAAAATGTCTTGTTATGCATCTCTGGCATTGAATAGAGCATATACTCATAGACATTGTGATTGCTGGGGTTTTTTCTGCAGAATGTAAAGTTCAGGAGAAACTCATATCTATATACCTCTCTAAGGTACACATTGGTCACATTTTCGCATATTCACATTCTTGTTGAAAACAGCTTTGTCATTTTAACTTGGTACTTTTAGCAACCCTTGATGCTCAGAATAGACATTCCTTGTTGCTAAAATAAATACATAAATAAACTCTTTTTAGAGGTCATAGGGATGACATTTTTATGAAGAAAGAAGTAAAGAAAGAAAGAAAGAAGGAAGAAAGAAAAAAGAAAATTAAAGAAATAAACTTTTGTACATATATGCAAAATTACTAAGTTAATGTTTTATGTTTCTAGAAAGAAATTCCAATTTCTGTGCCTGTTTGAGTGTGTGAGTACTGCACATTGTGTCTTAACATAAAATACAATAACATTACAACCTGGGATGGCATTTGCCTTGGGCAGCACTTTCCAGGGGGCGGCAAAAAATTCTGCCCCCAAATGCCCAGGCTAATGCCTAGTTTGCCTCATTTTATGGGGGCCCATGAGCTGACCGGCTGGCAGGGGCAGACAGCAATTTGTTTTCCGAGCGGGCGGCGAGGGAGCACTTTCCCTGCTCAGCTCCCTCGCGCAACCTGCAGTGATGCCGGGAGCCGGAATATGATGTCAGTCCGGCTACCGTCATCACTCTATGTGTGTCATTGTGTGAGTGTGTGTCTGTCAGTGAGTTTGTGTCTGTCTGTCAGTGAATGTGTGTGTCTGAGTGATTGTGCGTGTCTGTCAGTAAGTGGGTGCGTCTGTCAGTGCTTATGTTTGCGTGTCAGTGAGTGTATGCGTCTGTCAGTGTGTGTCTGAATGATTGTATGTGTCTGTCAGATTGTGTCAAATCAGTGCGTGTATGTGTGTGCATATGTTAGTGTATCTGACAGTGTGTGCTGGTCCGTCTGTCTGTCAGTCAAGATGTGTGTTAATTAACAGGAAGAGGTGTGGCCTTGGCAGGAAGGGGCAGGTAAGTTTAAATTAGTGGGTGCCTGAGATCTGTCAAGCCTAGGGCAGCAGCATTTCAAAATACACCACTAACTACAACAGTAAATCCAACAAACACTAGCCATTTGCAACACATACACCTGTTTCTTTACAATACACAATCATACATATATCTTACCTAATTTATAAAACTAAGAAAATATACTAACCATCATCAATCTCATGCTAAAAATGTAGGAGGAGAAGGGAGGGATCCTGTTCCCCAATCTGCTGTACACAGTGGTGCCATGAATTCTGAGAGCAGGAACACCTCTTCATTGACCATTATGATCGCTATTGCCTCCAACCACTGCTTCTCCCACTGCCACTAAAGCCTCCACCACCATCATTGGCAATTAGATTTAGCATAATGGGATTAGCATCATGTCCATTACATATGATTCAACACTCAGAAGGCAATTGTTTTTTATTCTTTTTCATTCAGCAGCAACTTCTGCTGCTTCTTCAACTGGCGTTGCAGCTTTTTCCACCACAGGTAGTTCAAGTGTTAAACCTTCTTGGTGCACCCCACATCAAACAACTAAGTGAGAGCACTGCAGAGTTTACTTTGTAGAAGTCATCACAGCTACACTTTAGTGAGGACTTAGCAGAGAATACCACAGTATTGTCCCCAAGCTCTGGTTTTGGTGGTGGTAGTGTTGAAAAAATCCAGTGATGATAATTCTGTTTTCCCAACCACTGCAGCATACATAGCACTTTTACCTTTGACCCAGGAGCTACTCAACTATCAATATAATGTGCCAGAGGAATTAGAGAAGCAAAGTCTGGAGAGGAATGACAACTCCAGCAGCTAGTGTGCAGGCTATTGTTCCAACAACTTCTACAGCCACCACCTAAAATGTTGAGGGTGCTATATTGTGCCAACAAACAAACTTTAAGATCACTTTAAGAGCCTCCAAGAAGGCAGACTTGCAAAGTGTAAATGTATGGCAAATGAATGAGTAAGGAGAGAGAGAAGGTACATCTCACTAGTGCCAGTTTGAAGCAATATCTACCACAAATTTGTAATTCTAAGGTAATAAGCTGAGAAAGAGAGTGCTAGGGCATGCAGCAGGTCCAGTGGTGCTGTATCCTATTCTGTGTAGTTGTTCCAAACTACCACCAACAAAATATCCTACACTACTACTACTAACACCCTTAGGCAAAGCAGGGGTGTATGGTGAGGATAGGCCAGTAGTTTACAGTGAAAGGTTGGATGGTATCAGTTGAATACCTAATCATCTGATGAAATAAAACAATAAAAGTTCATCTTGTCTAGCTGCCTCTGCCAGTGTCACTCACAACCACTTTGTTTCATGGATTTAGAATTGTTTTATTGATTTGTATTTTTTGTTTTATTATATCTAGTCAGAGACTGATTTCAGTGTGCTTCTGTGCCACGACCTGTCCTTTGAAAATTGGAAGCTTCTTACCTCAGTGATATAAACAGTGGGTGGCTGCTGTTTACTTCACTGTGTGTGGCAGGTCTTTTTAACACTTTATAGTAAAAAAGTATTCTAAAATGTGGTGGTGGTCATTCAATTAAATTATTCCTGCCCTGCCCAAATGAGTTCTGGAGTGCCAGTTACCTCTGTAGACGCTGTTGGGAAAAGCCCATAGAGCACTGTTTTTTTCCCCTTCAATACTGAAGTTATGCACTGCTTTTTCCAAGGAAACAATGTGTGGGCATGGCCAGTTGACAACCCACTCACCCTTTCCCCACTTAGAAGAACAGAGCTCATCTGCACATTCAGTCTGTAGTATGATTGGTCGTCAGTGCCTTACCATCAGCTTCTACCAACGCGTCTGCGTAGGTAGCAGGCACCGCAAGACTCATACAGGTCATACAGGATGAAACCACTTTAATAAAAGACATTTGAAAAAAAGTGAACAGCTGCAACATTAGTAATTTAATTTGCACACAGGGGATTTTTCAAAAATAATTAAAGTAAGAATTGAGTGGACAGTTGATGACCCAAAAAATTGTTCTGCTGAAATGTTTCTGAAGAACCACATTTTTTTTGCCCTGTACATTTATTTTCTATGTTGAAAAAGAGATTCATTATTTTTTTTGCAATTAGCCAGGATGTTATTCTGTGACTCCAGATATTTTGTAAACTTCATGGGATTTTTTAAAGCAATTTATCCCTCTCCAAGTAAGGAGAAATAAATCATTTTTCTCAGTATCTTAGCAATGGATGTCATTCATCATATAATATGGGAGAAAGGATAAAGGATGAGACAAGCGCAACTCAACATTGCTATATCATTTTGTTACATCTTTTTTAGTATGGGAGGTCCATTCCAGAATTAAAATAATTTCTGTGACGTCTTAATTGTTGGATATTGGGCAATATAACTAACTGTATGCATACTAGGGAGAAAAAAATCTCAGCAATAAGTCATGGGCTTTTGTACAATATGTTTGAGTGTTACTGATAGTGTGGTTTAATTTTACTGTATTTTACTAATGAAACAAGTGTTTTGATACTATACTGTTGCCTTTTTGCAAATGTTTACTATCTTCCTGATGGTTTTTATTGATGTGACACTTTCACCACCTTGACCTAATGCCTGTTTGATCTTATTTTCAGAGATTGAGACTTGTTATACAATATTTATGGATCTCATTGAATACCAAGATCTTGTGGATGCAAGCCATAGGTGCCAACAGTCCAAAAATAGCAGGGACATTCTGACATTTTGGGTTACTTCAATGTAAAAATAGGTCCTGTATTTTGAAATCAGGTGGGAAAATATAAAGATGCAGGAATGGACTGGGCACTAGGAGCATGCAAAGAGCGATTGAGCAGTGCCCCGAGCATGATCTGCCTTAAAGGAGGCAGATCCGCCTCTTTGATGGGTGAACCCTCTTTTTCGATGGGTGGACTTACTCCTTTGATGGGCGGACTTACCCTTTGAACTGTGCCCTTGGCAGCCTGCTTTCTTGCCTGCCCATTTCTGTCCAAGAAGGTGTACAGACAAGACTGGCTGAGATCAGGTTAGACAAATACTATGTCAGTCCTATGTCATTCCAAAGTGAACATGTCTATCTTTGTTGTTTTTGAACGTACCTACATCAGCCACATGTCTTTTCAGCACTTTGGTAATAAAGAAGACGATTCGATTACTAATTTTAGAAGTTTCCAGTGTAGTAAGGGAAAGTCAGTGAGGGTTGTGAAAAATAGTCTGAAGTGATAGGGGGAAAAAAAACAGCACACACTTTGACCGAAGCAATCAATAAAAGACCTTTTAATAGTAAAACAAGTAATATGCAAGAATTGACTCCTGTACATTTATTCTGAAAAGGCAGCAGCCATACATGTTTTGCAAACTCTACAGAAAAAAAAAACATCCAAATTGCAGAATGATTTAAAATTCTTTTTTTAAAACAATATAACACAGCTGTTTGGCATTACCAAATATATTCATATATCTTCATATATGTATATATTATATATATATATATTTATAGAATTATGTACATGTGCTGAAAAAAAGTTGCAAGTGCAGACTTTTCACTGTAAGTTTTTTTTTATTTTTTATTTTATTTAAGGATTCCATCCATGAGATCACTTATAACATTCTGGATTTTCGCTGATTGGGCAAGGCACAGAGAGTTCGGTTTACATCCAATTGCAACTTCTGCTAATTAGACATGAGGCTGAGTTAACCAGTTCAATGCCAGTGAGGCTAAATACTGCATTGTGACATTGAAAAGTTTAAATCTACTATTCCCCAAATACATGAACCCAATGAATCTTCGTTGCTCACATTGCTCTGTGTTTTACAGGCCAAAAACTCCACAGAGTCCATTTTTATATTGTCCATAATGTTCACTCAACCATGGTAGATAAATCTTTATCAGCTGAATACAGATGTCAGTCTCCAAGGGCCAGAGTGAAATTTTCATGTGTACTAGACCAAAAATTATTTTTTTAATGTGCAATGATTTAATTCTGTTGTAAAGAAAGTGAGACTCCAGTGAAGAATCAATGCATTGCTTAAAATGACTCTGCCAAGATCTGTCCAATAAAACATTGGTCCATATACCTATTGGGCTCATCAAAGCAACTATAAAATTCCTGGTGGCTTAAGTTGGTTTGTGTCAAATAATAAAAAAGGCAATTATGAACTAGTAAATTATTTTCTGCTAGAGAATACAGATAGAATTTTTTTTTTAATAATGACTGATTTGTACATATACCAGGAAGATGCTTATTACTGTATTTGCTAATATGCTTTCAGTGGCATAAATTCAATATAATATTGTGTGATTGTCAGTTAACTGCACAAACATCTTCAACTCCCTCCACGATACCTTAATCCCTCATTTTACAATATTTTTTTATTATAAGCTCATAACAGCTCTAGTCCCTTAAACATCTGTATGATCTATACATCCATACGTCTTTCCCTTGCAAGACCAAGGAGTTCGAAATAAACATTATATCACCATTTACCTATTTCTACTACATATCTGGACTCTACAATTCCCACTAATTCTAATTAAAAGCTGTAGTTAGATGTTTTCACAGTAATGCAATGAATTCAGCTCAACAGAAAGTCCAGCCTTCTTTTTTGTAAGACATGCCGAGAAAAAAATAAAATAGAAAGCAAGAAAAAAAATGTGTTTTAGCAGCATGTGCAGTATATTAGTGCCTTTTTTTTTTAAGATGAGTATTGGTTCACAGGACTTACACAAGCTAAGACAGAAAGAAACTCAGCACAGGTGTCAAAAACTTGGTCAAGAAGACACAAAACTAATCATCAAAATCACTTAATCAGTAAATGAGTCCAGACAGAACATCTGCTCATGATCTATCACTAAAGGAATAGAGAGCAGTGGGGTGGAGTAAATTGATTTACAAGACCTGTATATTGTATTTTCATATACACCCATCAGCGCAGACACCTGTTTTTTTCATATTTAAGACCTCTAGATATGCTTATTTGCAATTTTTGCACAACTTGCTTGCATATCGCCTGGGATAATATGGCAAGCTCCTCTTCCAGTTGTAGATTTAATGTTGTTGGAGATTATGACAGATGCCTACATGTTTTATACTTGAGTAATATTGCACCATCTTAGAAGAGAAAATGTTTGACAAAGACGTTACCACCTGAACCAGATGTAGTCTAAGTATTTTCCCATTACAATGCACTTTCCGTAGGCCTGGGATAATGTTATGAACTTCGGAGATATTTGGTTTATCAAGTAGATTTCAAAAACATACATCAACTATATGATAGAGATTAACCTAACCTACCAGAGTATCTAGCAAGATAGGCAACCAATGAAATGATTGATAGTAATAATCATTGGATGTCCTGCAGATATAAACAAGAAACAGCCCAATAATAATACGTTTTAGTCACTTTGCATGTAAAACTTTCCAGTAAATGCCTGTTATATATGTTTGATGTTTTGTATTTCTGTAATTCTTTAAATACTTAGCAACTTCATATTATTTTAAAGCATAAGCCAACTACAGTGATCCTAAACCAAGCTGTCATTTTACCTAGAATACAGGTTATAGAAACATCCTAATATAAGCTCATATGAGTCTTCAAGTACTCTGACATATTGTCAGGTGTAGAAAGGAGTCACGCCATTACTAGCCCAATCAAATTCACAAACATAGAAAAAAATATCAATTAGTCAATCAAATGTATTTATTGCAAAAACTGCTAAAGTAGTAAAAATAAAAATGCAAGTACTACAGGTCACAAATGTCTACATATGTGTTAACATAATAGCGTGGAAATTGTTATTTTCTTTTTTTTAAGATGTTACCAAAGTAATTTACGTCTTGTTAATGATTTTATGTATCCTTTTTTAATTTTTTTATTTTACTGTAGTTGGTTTGGCTGACTAGCCCAGGACGCAGATATCTCTTTTATTTTTTTTTATTTTTTTGATCGTACATTTTTGATTTTGTGGAAATTATTCCACATGTTCTAGCCTTGGTACAAGCTGTCACATTGTCGCACAACTCAATATATATTCATTTAGGAAATCATTATTTTACCACCAGCAATCTTTATATTCTGATGTAACAATAAGTATTGTACTCTCATATAACAATAATATGTATAAAATGCTCAGGCACACACTGGGACATACTGACAGCAATCTAGGCCCATGGGCAAACCTTGAGGTCCAATACATACACAAATACACATGGTTTATTCACTAAAGAGCGTACTACAGTAAATTGAAAGCTAAATTACCAATTTTGAAAAATTGACCACTATGGTTACTATTTGGCTAGTTTAGTCTGAATTTTGCTGTTCTGTTTTCAGTTAACTTTTTAGCGATTAGTTGGTTAGCAATAAATATTGGAGGATTGACAAGGAACAGAAACATTTAATCCAAAATAGCCAAGCTGGGAAAATACATGAGTTGCAAATTTTTCCAATTTGGATAATTTAGTCTACACTGTGTGATCCCCATGTCAGACTTCCACAATTGCCTGTTCAGTAAATAAACCTATAAGTGTTTTTGTATATGTGTACATATTGTGGTGATATATGTCTTAATAGGCATTTGAGTGGGTAACATATTTGTGGAGGCATGTGTTTATTTTCATATAGTGTCAGTGTGAATGTATATGTGAATGTGTAGTGCCAATGTGTGTGAATTCATTTGAATGTGCAAATGCATGGATGTTTTGTGTATTGGGAAGTATAAAAATGCTATGTATTTGTGGATATCTTCAACATGCATCTCAAAATGTACAGTCAAAGATTATGAATGCAGGGTTGTGTTTAGTGAGTAGTAACAGTATGTGTTTAAGCAGTGTGCATGTGTGTGAATGTAGAGTTCTACATCTTAGTCCAGATGTTCATTTGCGTGGAGCATTAATGCATGAATGCAAGTGTATTTGTGTGCAGGGTTGGAATATAGCAGTGCTTTTGTATTCAGTGTGTGGATGCAGATATTTTTGTGTTAATGTATTGCTAATGCGGGAAGTTATTTGTAGATATCTTGAATTCAAATGCATATATGTGTGTAATCGTATTGCGTGTAAATGCAGAGTTTCAGTAAATATTTGTGTGAAGTGTGTGTGAATGCATAAAAGTATTTGTAAAATATGCTAGTGTGTACATTGGTGTGTATACTGGAGTGTATTTTACTGTATGTCCTTGTGTATGCATTGTTGTATTTGAGCGGGATGTGTTTTACTAAAATATTTCTAAATTTCAAAGTATCTTCTCAGTCCCCAGTATCTTACAAACCAACTCTTCTTACATCTGCATCCAAGAGCCCCCACTTTTTTCTGTCCTCCGTACATTTTCTGTCTCTCCTCATCGTCCTTTTTGTCTCCTCATATATTCCACTCCGACCTGCTATCTCTTGTTCTATGCAATCTCCCCACTTTCAACTCTTAGCTTAACCCTCTCCCTTTCATTCTTACTTTAAGCTTTTGGTTGTCTCCCCTTCATAGAAACATAGAAACATGGAATGTGACAGCAGGTTAGAATCACCCGGCTCATCTAGTCTGCCCAATTTTTTTAAATACTTTCATTAGTCCCTGACCTTATCTTTTAGCTAGGATAGCCTTATGTCTATCCCACGCATGCTTAAACTCCTTTACTGTGTTAACCTCTACCACTTCAGCTGGAAGGCTATTCCATGCATCCACTAACCTCTCAGTAAAGTAATACTTCCTGATATTATTTTAAAACCTTTGCCCCTCTACTTTAAGACAATGTCCTCTTGATGTGGTAGTTTTACTTATTTTTCTTCATATCAGCTTGCTTCCTGTGCGGCTAGGGCTCTGCGTGTTGAGGGGCAAGTATATGAAGCAAGATCCTATCCCTGACCCTCTCTGCATATGGAGTGTATCAGCCCTATCTAATGAAGATTTCAATTGAAGCTGTGGGATCACTCATGTGAAGTACTTAATTCCTAGGGATGGAAAATTACAAAAAAATATATATGAAAGGCCAGTATTGGAGAAATGCTGATCTCCACAACTGATCCATAACTTCTTCTGCAACTGGATCCCTGACTGGAACAGGCCCTAGGTCCATGACCAAAGTGCCTTAGTAGTAATATATTTATGTGTTTAGTACCTCCAAAGACTAACACAAAAGGTTTCATTGATATGTTAATTTCTTTCATTCAGCACACAATGCCCATTTTGTTTACCCACCTGTATTTTAATGACTTTCGAAGAATGAAAGGGTTGACTGGAAACAGAACCTGTGGTTTTAGAAGGTTTCACAGCTGTAACATTAACTAATCTATCTTATTTATATTATATTTATTACCTGTTATGTATTAAATTATATGTGTGTGTGTATATATATATATATATATATATATATATATATATTTATATGTACCAGACCTCTAGTCCAAGTACTCCAACGGGATAGCCAAACACAGTAAAATAATCCAGGAATATTCCATCTCCTCCCCAGCAACTGGACGACACTCTGCTCTGGGGGTATAACTGGTTTTAATGGAGCCACACATGGCCTTTTATGTGAATCCCCATGCAAGGGGTTTCCTGATACACATTCCAGGGGCATTAAAATACACAACATAATTATATTAACTCTCAGGTCCAGGACATATACAGTAATAACACCCCAAAACATACAGTCAATATCAAGGTACCCCCTCAAGTCCTATATCCCCGGATAGACTGGATCTGAGCACCCAACATATCCGAAAAGCGCTCAGATCCCACGAACGCAGCATAAACGCCACCGGGGTATATTTTAGACCAACCGCACACGAGGAGCCTGCCCAAAAAGGTTCCATGAAGGTTCCATGAAATCAGGCTGTGCAGTCAGTCTCTTTCTGGAGTACAAAACATATGAAAACTAACAAATAAACTGTTCGTGCATAAGCTCATCCCATGTATCTTGTCTGGGAGTTTGTTCCCCTTGAACGCCACTCAGTTCATATGAATTATGACAAACATAACCAGAGGTGGAAGTCCCAGCAGTGTTCGCGCAGCCGAGTGTCTGATTTTAGTTCCATACACTCGATGACCAAACACCGCTGTCTCTGTTTGTGGTTAAAGATGGCCGCAGCCAGGTGTTCGCACATACGAACGATGGCCAGCTAGCCGTTAGAATGTTATTGCGGCTTGTGGAGGTGTGAATGAAGGTTACTGGGGTTAACAAGCACTCCACATGTGGGTGGTCTGGCATTCGGTGATTTGTCCAGGGACAAGGTGATCCCTCCCACACACGAAATCTGAGTAAAAACATCCGAAATAACAGGGGAGAGGATACAGACAGCCCATAGAGGGAATAAAGGGTAATTTCCACAGGTTCATTCTGCTACAATATATATATATATATATATATATATATATATATAGTCCAAAATATTGTTATATCCTTGCACACACACTCTCCAATAATATTGTGCCTGGTGCTATTAAGCCAATGCCAAAAATATACAAAAATATACAAAAGGCAAGCACTCACGGTCTTTTCTGGTCTCTTTAAAAGGTTGTTCTTTATTTCATTGGTTAAAACTTGATGTGATCGACGTTTCAGCCAAACTTCATGGCTTTCATCAGGATCTTAACAGCTCAAAATACATCTTACAAATAACACACTTATATAGTAAAACAAATAATACAATCAATAATTAAAACACTTACCACCTGAGGCTGCACTGCTTCCACGGCGTTCTATCGCCGTCTCTGCGCATGCGTCACCCTCCCGTTACCCGGAAGTAGCGTGTTGACGTCATCGTTGCCGTGGATACCCGGTATGTTTACCTGGCTCCACGGCAACGCAGCGAGCAATATCCTCGCTCTTTTCACAGTCAGCCTAGGCGATCTAACTCTAACTCTGCATCTAATCAAAACATTAAAAGCATATTAAACAAACAATATTTAACTATTTAGAGGGATCTTATTCATTTATGACTCACATTCCATTGTTTATAAAGGCTATTCCATATCTAGTATCTAGACATAATTATACAGTTAGGATCTTATCTGCATCCTACCATGCACCACTTATTAGATGTTTTAAAAGTTACAATTACAGATTATTTACAATAAACTATATTTCAATAGTCTCAAAGTGCTAAATATATCATTTCTATACAATAAAGTGCTAACATTTGTATATTAAAGTGAGACATAGTAAATTAAAGTGATACTTGTGCTATTTATATACATCAAGGTGCTAACATATGTATGATAAAGTGAGACATAGTATATTAAAGTGATACTTGTGCTATTTATATACATCAAAGTGCTAAACATGCTGTATATGTACATTAAAGTGCTAACATATTACCTAAAGTGCAACTAATTTATTAAAGTGATACACGTGTAGTTTATATACATCAAAGTGCTACATGTGCTATTATTATGTACTATTTATTGGTCACCGAAGTATTACTCTCTTTGTTGCTGCTATCAACTACCTAGTTACTGTGCTTCAGTGATCTTTCAACATATTATATACTTTCAAAGGGCTAAAAGAATATATATTATACTATTATGTACAAAAATAAAGGGATAATAGATCTACTAGTGTCTTATATATACATTATTTACATAAAGCCTCATTGCAAATTCTATTGTATATCGTACCTATATATTAACTTAATTTATCCTATCAATGAGTCATATTCAATATAGTAATGCTCTTTGCTCAAAGAGGTATTATTTAAGATAGATAATTGATAATTGGGTACAGTCCTTTATCTGAGCAAATAGGATAAGATCTACAACTTTATATTTTAAATTTTAATTCGTTATATTATATCTCCATATAACCTTTTTATTGATATAAATTCTTCCTCTAATTCTAGTTAAAATATATGTATTTTAATAACTCAAAGGAGGCAAACAATTATTTCAACATTACTCATATATATGGATGGTATGATATCATCTCGTTCAATCCTCTTGGAGCCACAGTTTCCAATTCTTGTATCCAGAATGTCTCTCTTCTCAGTAGGGCATTACCCCTATCTCCACCTCTTCTAGAACAAGGTATCCAATCAATTGCCACGAATTTTAACATAGTCAAAGAATGTTTGTATTCTAAAAAATGCTTCGCCACAGGTTTGTCTGTGTATCCGTCTCTGTAGGCAGTTCTTATATTGGATCTATGACCCCTAATTCTGTCACAGAGCTGCGTTTCAGTTTTCCCTATGTAAACCAAGCCACAAGGGCACGATATTTTATATATTACATGGGTCATCTTACACGTAATGGTGTGGCGGATTTTATACATCTTATTTTTATGTGGATGGTTAAACTTACGTGCTGGCACCATATGACTACACGTCACACATCCTAGGCAGCGCACACTGCCTCTTACTTGTGTTATCTTCTGTTCAGTGTAGCTCTCCACAGGGTCTGTTTTCATTAATATATCTTTTAAATTTCTGTTTCTTCGATAGCAAATACGTGGTGATTGCTTAAATTCTTTTGGCAAACTATTGTCACATGCCAACATATTCCAATTACGTTTTACAATGCTGTTTATTTTCTGTGATTTGCTGTGGAATGTCATGGGAAAAATCAATTTGGGGACTTCTGTGATGTCTTGTAGCGTGGTCGCATTCTCTTCTGCTTCTTCCAACGCTTTGTCTAAGACTCTTTCACTATACCCTCTATCTAGAAATTTCATTTTCATTTCTTGTAATTGTATTCGTTTAGTTGTTTCCTTTGAATTATTTCTCATGACCCTAAGAAACTGAGCTTTAGGTATAGACTTGATCAGATTTTTTGGATGTGCACTGTTATAATGTAGTATGGTGTTTCTATCGGTAGGTTTAGAGTAGAGACAATAGACCATTCTGTGATCTTCCACGGATAATTCCACATCTAGAAATTGTACTCTTTCCGTACTCACATTGGCCGTCATCCGTATCGGTGTTGGAAGTTGATTTATGAACTCAACCATTTCTTGCGCTTGCAATTTCGTACCACGCCATATTATCAGAATATCATCTATAAAGCGAAAGTACTTTATGATGTTCCTTTTAAATGGCTCTAATATATATTCTGTCTCAAAGGTGTACATATAAGAATTGGCGTACATAGGCGCCATAGCCGCTCCCATGGATGTCCCTGATATTTGCATGTACCACTGTTCTTCGAACCGGAAATAGTTATTTTTCAATGCAACCTCCAATAATTCCAAGGTATATTCAATAGGGGGACCTTTATATTTTAATGAAGCACATAGGACTTGTCTCATAGCCTCTATACCACCATCAAGCGGGATGATGGTATAGAGGCTACTAACGTCCATCGTAATAAGTACGGGTGATTCTTCTTCTATATATAGATTTTGAAGTGCCACCAATAATGAAGGTGTATCTCTAATGCATGTATGTAGATCATGTACTGTGTCTTTAAACATAGCATCTAGCCATTTCCCTATAGGTTGTAGTACCCCGCCTATTGCTGATACTATAGGTCGTCCCGGGGGGTCTGTTCGACTCTTATGTATCTTGGGAATTGTGTACATGATGGGTGTCCTCGGATGCTTTTGTATCAAATATAAATAGAGATTTTGATCTATATAATTAGCTCTCAGTCCTATATCAAGGATCTCTTCCACCCTTCTTTGTACTTCTCTAGTTGGATCACCCTTAAGTAACTTATAGGTTTTTTCATCCATTAATTGTCTTCTTACTTCCATTGCATATTTATCATAGTCCATGATGACTATACCCCCGCCTTTAACGGCGGGGCGTATTACGATGGAAGGATCTTTCGCTAGGTTTTCCAAAAGGTGTCTTTGTGCTTTATTCAAGTTATTTCCCATGTGGTTAGGTTGTTTCAATTCTTCCGTTGTTTCTATTTGTACCGTAGATAGAAATGTTTTAATGTTGGCTTTAGAGTTAGGTGGATCAAAGTGTGATTTTGGTTTAAATTGAATCTCAGTCGCTTTATGGTATTGATTTGCTGGTTGCTGTGTTTTCCCTTTATTAAAGTAATCTTTAAGTCGTAGATTTCTTCAAAAATTAAATAATTCTACGTTCCATGCGAATATATTTGGTCTAGCCGTAGGTACAAATGAGAGTCCTAATTTTAGGATCTCTATTTCTTTCTCATCCAACTTACGTTGAGAGAGATTGAAAACTGGCACTACCTTTTCAGTGGTGGTTTCCCACGGGCTATGTATTTTCCCCTTATGGCCTCTTCTTGTCCTGTGCCGGTTCCGCCTCTGCCTCTGCTTCTCGTCAAAGTGCCCATTTGTGTTGTATCTAAAAAAGTTTCATCATTTTGTTGCTCTGCATCGGATGCTGACTCAGCCGATGTGACATCTATTGTGTGTTGCTTTGGGCGTATAATTTTCTTGCGTGGCCTTCTTGGTCTCCTTTGATGTTCCCCACTTAACCACTTATAGACGCGATGCTCTACGTAGTCCTGTTGAACATATTCAAATTTTTGCTTTTTAAATCTAATAAGATCATTTTTGTATTTCAATAATTCTTCCTTTAATTTATCCAGCAATTTCATACCTTTTGGCGACGCCAATAATACAGCATGTTCCATTTCAACTTCTATTATTTTCCGTGTAATATTCTCAAACTCCGTTTTCACATCCTGGATTATAATCAACATAAGATCTAGAGATGCTTTGTTTAAAACTGAAATCCAATCTCGGCAAACTTTGGCTTTCATCCTCCCAATTGTAGGGATATTCATGATACGAAACCCTCGTGGGATCCTTTTAGCCTTATAGTAGTCCGAGAGAAATAATCCGTGAAGATCTAGATCAATCCTTTTCCTCTGTAGCTTTAAGAGTTGAAAGTATATATCCTTACTAGTAGTATTATATGGCAAATCCGTGCTAGATTGCACCCAAAGTATTGCTTGTGCCTCCTCCTGAGTAAAGTGGAGGGTTTCAGCTTGTTCAGCGTAGCCCCCCGCTTGTAATAAAAATTCATCTGTTAGATCCATAGTAAGCGCTTACTGATTAAATATCAATGAATTACTACTGCCTAATTTGAAGCTGAGTCGGCATCCGATGCAGAGCAACAAAATGATGAAACTTTTTTAGATACAACACAAATGGGCACTATGACGAGAAGCAGAGGCAGAGGCGGAACCGGCACAGGACAAGAAGAGGCCATAAGGGGAAAATACATAGCCCGTGGGAAACCACCACTGAAAAGGTAGTGCCAGTTTTCAATCTCTCTCAACGTAAGTTGGATGAGAAAGAAATAGAGATCCTAAAATTAGGACTCTCATTTGTACCTACGGCTAGACCAAATATATTCGCATGGAACGTAGAATTATTTAATTTTGGAAGAAATCTACGACTTAAAGATTACTTTAATAAAG